CCCCCCCTGCCTAGGGCCCTGATGCTGCATGTGCCCCCCCCGCCCCAGGCCTGTGCCCCCCTGCCCTGGGCCCGTGCCCCCTGATGCTGGATGTGGCCCCTCCTGCCTAGGGCCCTGATGCTGCATGTGCCCCCCCCGCCCCAGGCCTGTGCCCCCCTGCCCCGGGCCCGTGCCCCCTGATGCCGGATGTGGCCCCTCCTGCACAGACTAGAGGATGTGGCTGCAGGTGGAGCGGCCGTGCTGCTGACCTGTCAGATGGTGATGTCCAAGCTTATCCTCTAAGCATTGAAGGAAGCCCCCTTAACTCGTATGACTAGAACATCCCTGAGCGGCGGCTGCAGGACTCTGTGGCCCCACACACCCGTCCTTGGCCCTGAGGTGCTGGAGGCAGGGAGGGAATGCGGAGGCTGCTGGGAAGGGCCTGTCCAGCCCAGGACTGGGGGCTGGGCAGCTGCGAGCGCCGGGAAACTCCTGGCTTGTGGTCCTGGTATTGAGGGCTCCAGCCACGAAAGGGCTGCCGATCCCCTTCTGGAAGGAGTCCCTCGTGCTAGCCCCCGAGTGGAGGACCACAGTGCCGCTGTGGGGCTTGAAGACGCAGCCTGAGACCGTGTTAACTAAAGGCCGCTTCCCCTGATGTCCTGCAAAGTCACAGCTCCTTCCCTCTCCCTCCAGGGCCCCCAAGGCATTTCAGGAGACTCCAGCTACAGACACAGAAGATACTTCAGGCATCAGAGTCCCAGACGCGCGAGTCCCCACCATACGAAGTGCCCCATGCCCAGGGGAGGTAAGACCAGGCCCACGGCTACCCTCACGAGGACACATGACTCAGCACTTTCTGCAGAGGACGAAACGTCACTGCCGTCCAGCACGGTTGTCCTGGGGGTGCTGGGTGCCTTTCACTTGCATCCAGGTGTGGATTGAGGCCTGGTTCCCAAGGGACCACAGAACACCTAGACCTGAGCTGCTCTAGAGAGCTGCTGTGGGGAGCTGAGGTCAGCAGCGCCAGCCTCCATGACTGCCCGACGGGGCCGGACGCCGGCCAGCCACATCCATGCTTTGTCTGTCCTAGGCACTTACCCGTCTCTGCAGACAGCCACGCCAAAATGGATGTGGACCAGCTGGACCTGAACCCCAGGATTCTTGCTGCAATTAAGAAGGGTACGTGTGCTTTCAGAACAGGGTGCATCTCCACACATGCACTTACGGGAGACAAGTCGAGTGGCGTGGGCGTCCACGCCATGTGCCCTTCCCTTTGCCGACTCTCCTGAGAGATGCAGGCGCCTGCGCTGATGGCAAGGCGGCCTGGGCACTCAGCTGCCTGTTTGTTTCTTTAACACTTTAAAGAGGTCTTTTGCAGCACATTTACCCAGTGCAGTATGTCATTTAATTTCTTGACTGCTACTTCTGTGGGTATTGATTATGGATCCAAGCAGAATGAAATCCTGACAACTTCAGTCTTTTTCTCCCTTTATCATGATGTTGCTTACTGGTCTAGTTGTGAGGATTTTTGTTTTCTTTGTATTGAGGTGTAATCCATACTGAAGGCTATATAGTCTTTGATCTTCATTGGTAAATGCTTCAAGTCATCTTCCCTTTCAGCCAGCCACGTTTTGTCATCTGCCTATCCCTGGTTGTGAATGAGTCTTCCTCCAATACTGATGCCCCGTGTTTCTTCATGTAGTTTCTTGGATTATTTGCTCTGCATGCAAACTGAGTAAGGATGGTGAAAGCAGACAACCTGATGCACACCTTTCCTGATTTTAAACCATGCAGCATCCCCTTGTTTTGTTGACATGACAGCTTCTTGATCTATGTAGAGATTCCATATGAGCACAGTTTTGGAATTCTGATTCTTCACGATGTTATCCATAATTTGTTATCATCCACCCAGTTGAATGCTGTGGTAGTTAAGGCTGTATGTCAACTTGGCTGGGCCTGGTTGAGTGGCTGGGCAGCTGGTGGTAGTTATTCCCCATGATGAGACTGGGAGTCAGCTCCATGGTGGGATCTACTACAAGTCGCTGCTGTTGTTGCTGTTGCTGTTATGTGCTGTCGAGTCGTTTCCAACTTACAGCGACCCTGTGCATAGCCAAATGAAATGCTGCCCAATCTTGTGCCACCCTCACGATCCTAGTTATACCTTAACCCATCGCTGCAGCCACTGTGTGTATACATCTCATTGAGGGCCTTCCCCTTCTTTGTTGACCCTCCACTTTACCAAGCATGATATCCTTCTCCAGGGAATGGTTCCTTCTGACAACATGACCAAAGTAGGTGAGATGAAGTCTGGCAATTCTCATTTCCAAGGAGCATTCTGGCTGCACTTCCTCTGGGACAGATTTGTTCATCCTCGTAGCAGACCACGGTACTCTTAGCATTCTTCTCCACCAACACAACTCAAAAGCATCAACTCTTCTTTGGTCTTCCTTATTCATTGTCCAGCTCTCACATGCATAAGAGGTGATAGAGAATACCATGGCTTGGGTTAGATGCACCTTAATCTTCAAAGAGACATCTTTGCTCTTCAGCACTTGGAAGAGGTCTTTTGAAGCAGATTTGGCCAATGCAATACGTCGTCTGATGTCTTGACTGCTCCTTCCATTGGTGTTGATTGTAGAGCCAAGTAATGTGAAATCCTTGACAATGTCAGTCTTTTCTCCATCCATCATGAAGCTGTTTATTAGACCAGTTGTAAGGATTTTTGTTTTCTATATATTGAGGTGTAGTCCATACTGCAGACTATAGTCTTTAATCTTCACCAGTAAGTGCTTCAAATCATCCTAACTTTTAGCAAGCAAAGTTGTGTCATACTGCATATCTCAGGTTGTTAATCAGTCTTCCTCCAATCCTGATGCCATGTTCTTCTTCATACAATCCAGCTTCTCGAATTGTTTGTTCAGCATACAGATTTAGCAAGTATGGTGAAGGGATACAACCCTGATGCACACTCCCTTCTTGATTTGAACCATGCAGTGTCCCCTTGTTCTGTTCCAATGACAGCCTCCTGATCTATGTACAGATTCCTCATGAGTACAATTAAGTGTTCCGGAATTGCCATTCTTCTCAATGTTATCCACAATTTGTTATGATCCACACATTTGAATGCTTTTGCATAGTCAATAAAACACAAGTAAACATCTTTGTGATATTCTTTGCTTTCATCTGTGATCTGTCTGACATCAGCAACGATATCCCTCATTCCATGTCCTCTTCTGAATCCAGCTTGGATTTCTGGGAGCTCTCTGTCAATATACTGCTGCAAGCATTTTTAAATTATCTTCAGTAAGATTTTACTTGCGTGTGATATTAATGATATTGTTTTATAATTTCCACATTCTGTGGGATCTCCTTTCTTTGGAATGGGTACAAATATGGATCTCTTCCAGTCAGTTGGCCAGGTAGCTGTCTTCCAAATCTCTTGGCATAACCGAGTGAGTGCCTCCAATGGAGCATCCATTTGTTGAAACATCTCAGTGGGTATTCTGTCAATTCCTGCAGCCTTGTTCTTCACTAGTTCCTTCAGTGCAATTCCTTCGAATTCTTCCTTCAGTATCATTGGTTCTTGATCATATGCTACCTCCTAAAATGGATGAACATCAACCGATTCTTTTTGGTACAGTGACTGTGTATTCCTTCCATCTTCTTTTGATGCTTCCTGTATCATTTAATATTTTGCTGATAGAATCTTTCAGTATTGCAACTTGAGGCTTAAATTTTTTTCTTCAGTTCTTTCAGCTTGAGAAATGCGGAGCATGTTCTTCCCTTTTGGTTTTCTAATTCCAAGTCTTTGCACATTTCATTATAGTGATTGGCTTTGTCTGCTCAAGCTGCTCTTTGAAATCTTCTCTTCAGCTCTTTTATCTTGCCATTTCTTCCATTTTCTTTAACTACTCTTCTTCAAGGGCAAGTTTCAGAGTCTCTTCTGAAATCCATTTTGGTCTTTTCTTCCTTTTCTGTCTTTTTAATGACCTTGGTTTCTTCATAGATGATATGCTCAATTTCATCTCACAGTTCCTCTGGTTTTCAGTTATTGGTGTTCAGTGCATCAAATCTATTCTTTAAATGGTCTCTAAATTCAGGAGGGATATTATCAAGGTCATATTTTGACTCTCGTGGACTTGTTTTAATTGTCTTCAACTTCAACTGGAATGTGCTTATGAGCAGTTGATGGTCTGTTCTACAATCAGTTCCTGGCCTTGTTTTGGCTGAAGATATTGAGCTTTTCCATCTCCTCTTGCCACAGATGTAGTTAGTCTGATTCCTGTGTATTCCATCTGGTGAAGTCCACGTGTTTCTGCACGACAAGGCAGCTTTACACAGGAGCAACCAGGAGAAAACAGGAAACAGCCAAGCACTCTGCACTGCAACACGCCACCTTAACAGCTAACCAGCATTACTCAACTGAGTCATCACTTATGTTGTTGAAAAAGGTATTGGCAATGAGTAAGTCGTTGATCTTGCAAAATTCTATCATGCAATCACCAGTGTTATTTCTGTCACCAAGGCCATATTTTCCAACTACCAGTAACTCTTCTTTGTTTCCAACTTTTGGATTCCAGTCACCAGTGATAATCAACACATCTTGATTGCATGTTCTATCAATTTCAGACTGCAGAAGTTGGTAGATATATTCAATATCCTCATCTTTGGCTTTGGTGGTGGTACATAAATTTAGATGATACTGGTCTTCCTTGTAGAGATTATCCTATCACTGACAGCATCGTACTTCAGGACAGATCTTGAAACAGGCTTTATGACAATGAATGTCATACCATTCCTGTTTGTCATTCCCGGCATAGCAGATCCCATGGTTGTCTGATTCAAAATGGCCCAAACCAGTCCATTTCAGCTCACTAATGCCTAGGGTATTAATCTTTATGCATTCCATTTCATTTTTGACAACTTCCAATTTTCCTAGATTCATACTTCGTACATTCCATGTTCTGATTATTAATGGACGTTTGCATCTGTTTCTGCTCATTTTGAGTTGTGCCACATCAGCCAGTGGAGGTCCTGAAAGCTTTACTCTATCCATATCATTAAGGTCATCTCTCCTCTGAGGAGTCAGCTCTTCCTCAGTCAAATTTTGAGTGCCTTCCGACCTGATGGGCTCATCTTTGGCACTATGTCGGACAGTGTTTCAGGGCTGTTCATAACATTTTCCAGTAATATATCAGACAGTGTTTCACTGCTATTCATAAGGTTTTCACTGCCAGTTCTTTGAGAAGTGGAAGGCCTCTTCCTTCTTTCGAGTCTGTCTAAGCCTGGAAGCTCCACTGAAACCTCTCCACCATAGGTGACCCTGTTGGCATTTTGCAACATAGTAGCATAGCCTCCAGCCTCGCAATACATAGCCACCACAGGATGACAAATTGACAAACAAGTTTATCTCTCTTAGTTATTCCTAACCCCTCTGCGCCTGCCTACCTCAAGCCTCAGCCTTAATGTAGAGCCACACCCAAGCAGAAAGACAAGCAGCTGAGTAGCTGCTTTAGGGATGTGGTTTGCTTCCCATATATAAGAAGCAGCTTTGCAAGTAGTCTCTAGCTTAGGCGTGCTTGAATCCTGCCTGTAGCTGTTCAGCCGCCTGTCATGATCTGCCGATCTTGGGACTTTCAACAGAACTTGGATCAGTGGCCTGCCATGTGGTTTGGTAATATCAGGACTGTGCCATTTTATTTGTCAACCCTGGGTTTGTCAGCCTCAGCAGCCAGGAGCTGCCTGAGTGAAGAGATGCCTCTAGCTTCAGCTTCAGTGGGCCAGGAGCAAGAGGCAGAGCTGAAGCCCAAAGTCAAGGGTCTTTTACCCAGCCCCTAGAACCTGGTACTTGGAATTCGGACTTCTAGCCTCCAAAACTTGTAAGAGTAAACTCCTGTTTGCTAAAGCCTTCCCATTTGTGGTATGTTCTTGTTAGACTGGCACTAGGGAAACAAAACAAATGCCTTTGCATCATCAATAAACACAGGTAAACATCTTTTTGGTATTCTCTGCTTTCCACCAAGATCCATCTGACATCAACAGTGATATCCCTTATTCCATGTCCTCTTCTGAATCCGGTTTGAATTTGTGACAGTTCCCTATGAATACACTGCTACAGCTGTTTTTGAATGATCTTCAGTAAAAATTTCCTTGTATGTGATATTGATGATATTATTTGATAATTTCCATATTCTTTTGGATCAATTTTCTTAGGAATGGGCACAAATATGGATTTCTTCCAGTCAGTTGGCCATTAGCTGTCTTCCAAATAGCATAGACAAGGAAGTACCTCCAGTGCAGCATCCATTTGTTGAAATATCTCAGTGGGTATCCTGTCAATTCCTGGAGCTGTGTTTTTCACCAGTTCTTCAGTGCAGTTTTGACTTTTCCCTTCAGTACCATCAGTTCTTAATCAAACACTATTTCCTGAAGTGGCTGACCACTGACCAGTTCTCTTGAGTACAGTGGCCCTGTGTATTCCTTCCATCTTCTTTTGATGCTTCTTGCATCATTAAGTATTTTGCCCATGGACTCTTTCAGTATTGCAGCTTGAGGCCTGAATTTTTTCTTCACTTCTTTCAGCTTGAGAAATACCAAACATGTCCAGGTCTTTGCACACTTCAGTATAATACTTTGTCTTCTTGAGCCACTCTTTGAAATCTTATCTTCAGCTCTTTTATTTCATCATTTCTTTACTCTCTGTTCAAGACCAAGTTTCATAGTCTCTTCTGACACTCATTCTGGTCTTTTTTCCTTTCTTTTTTTTTTTTAATGATGGTTTGCTTCCTTCATGGATGATGTCCTTTGTATCATCTCACAGCTTGTCTGATCTTAGTCATTGGTGCTCAGTGCATCAAATCTCTTCTTCAGATGGTCTCTACATTCAGGTGGAATATCATCAAGTCTGTACGTTGGGTCTTGTGAACTTATTGTCATTTTTTTTGGCTTCCACTTGAACTTGCATATGAGCAGCTGATGATCTTGAATGCAGTCAGCCCCTGGCCTAAACACAATGTAAATGTTTAGGTGTAAATGTCCTTCCATATTTTTATGAAGGTCATACATGCATGACCTTCATAAAGACTAAAATGGAATGGCTGCCTACTTTTGAGTTTTTTAGCAGTTTTTTATTTGTTCCTGTGTTTGATTTATGTCCTCAATTATTCCATGGACAAATCTGTCCTGGAAGAAGTGCACCTGGAATACTTAGAAGCAAGGGTGGCGAGACTCTGTCTCATGTACACTGGACATGTTACCAGGAGGGACCAGTCCCTGGAGAAGGACATTGTGCTTGGGAAAATAGAGAGTCAGCAAAAAACAGGAAGACCCTCAGTGAGATGGATGCCTCCAGGGAAGTACAGATGGGGGCGTTCTGCCCAGCAGGCCTGCATTCCCCCAGAAGTATCCTTGTGGACCCCTGTTGGCCTGCTCATCTTGTGGGCCTGAGGGTGTCTGGGGCCACCTTTCAGCAAAAGGAAGCACCGGCCTGGCCTCTGGCTTCCATGGCTGCTGACAAAAGGCACCCCATTCAGCCCAGCCTCTCCCCCACCCTTTTTTTGCAGCCTGGGTTCCCACGGTGCTATTAGTCATGTGCAATCCAGCCTTCTTGCGAGTGGGATGCGGGAGGGGGAGTCACAACATTGGGCACCAAACTTCTGCTCTGGGAGACAAAAATCTGGGAACAGTTGTGGTCACAACGTGGGAGCATCACCGAGCTGTGTGCATCCCTGAGCTGTGCATGTCAACAAGCCCTGCACATCAAAATGGCTGCAACAGCAAATGGTTTGATCCATAGTTTCTACCACAATTAAGAAAAACAAGCACACCTCCCTCTTGTTGCTGTGCACCTGGCCGGGCGGCCGGCCCCAGGTCACTTATTCCTGCTTTCAGCCAAGCTGCGGTCGGTGAGGGAACTCCTTCACCTCTCGGAAGCAGACCTGCAGCGGCTGACCGGGCTCTCTGGCCCCAACGCCCAACGCGTGCTGCAGGCGGCCGCCCTGGGCCTTCGGGGAAGCAATGCTCTCACAGGTAGGAGCACCCACTTGGGTATGTGTGCCCACCCATCTGCCACACACTCTCCACCATCACTGGTGGGTGTGCCCTCCCGACCCCTGGCATCTCTGCCTTCACGGGGCTCCTATGGGAGCCTACACATAGCTGAGGTGGGGAAGAACTGGCCAGGCCCACAGCTGTGGGCAGAAACCCTCCATTGCTCTTTGGGAAGCCTGCAGGGGAGGGGACAGGGCTGCCTGGCTGGCCCCAGCAGGTGGGTGTCAGTCATCCGCTGCAGGTCCCTACCATCCATAGGACCCTGGCCTGCTGGGGTCTCAGGATCTGCCCTAAGTCACTGTGATTCACACTGGGGAGGTAGGTCCTCTAAAGGCCACTCCGCAGCCCTCCCAGCGGAGGGGGGGCAGCCCTCCCAGCAGGGGGCAGCCCAGGTGGGCTTCACCCCTCCTGCTGAGACCATCAGCACTGCCCCAACCCAACTCTACACCTCACCTGGCCTGTTCACCTGCCCACCGTCAGGGTAACCAGAGCCCCCCCCGCCCCCAGCTCTGGGGGAGCCTCATTGCTGGGAGCATCCAGCTGGGCATTGCCCGGGTGTTGGCAAGAGTTGTCCTGCCATCCGGCCAGGATCCCTTGGGTGCACGTGCCATGCTTCCCTGGGGCGCCATTCCCGCTACTGACCAGCTCCTACGGCCTGTGGGCCACCTTGCCACCCACAGCGCTGCAGCTGTACCAGAAGAGGGCACAGTTCCCCAGGCAGCACCAGCGCCTGAGTCTGGGCTGCCCCGTGCTTGACCACCTGCTCCGGGGCGGCCTGCCGCTCGACGGCATCACTGAGCTGGCCGGACACAGCTCTGCCGGCAAGACCCAGCTGGCCCTGCAGCTCTGCCTGGCCGTGCAGCTCCCGCAGCAGCACGGTGGCCTGCAGGCTGGTGAGTGCCCACCCCCAGGACGGGAGTGACGTCCAACCCTGCAGTTCTGGTCCCAGCGCACCTGCCTTGTCCTTGAGCCGCTTCCCGTGGAGGGTGCAGTAGTGGTTAGCACTGACAGGCTGTGTTCCACTCTTCCTGTCTTTCTCCTCCCTCTACAAGTTAGGGAAGAGGCTGGGCACAGAGCAAGGGTCTTCCAGACACTGGTCTCCCATCTGCCTGTGGGGCCAGTGGATGTGGTCAGCACTGAGAACAAACGGGTGGAGGTCCACTAGGGCGGCCCATGGGATTGACTCGTGGGATTGCAGCACATATTTAAATAAGTTATATATACACATGTGCTCACCCCCCACATGTGCACCCACACATGCTCACATGTGCATACACACGCTTACATACAAACACACTCATGCACATGTGTCTACCCATGCTCACATGCACCCACACACGCCCCTAGACATGCTCACACTCGCCTACACATATGCACCTACATGTCACATGCACACACATGCTCCTACACATGGTTGCATGTACACACTGACAAGACACGTGCTCATATACCTGGACCTACATGTTTGTGCACACATGAACTGTACATTTACATGTGCACGTGCATGGGCCTACACATGTTCACATGCATCCACATACACATACTTATGCACATTCATGCATGTACACATGCCTACGCTCACATGTGAACACCACACACACACACCACTCACCTGCAAACCAGAGCCAGAAACTCACAGCAATAATATCCTTTGGGGGCGTGTGTGGGGACCTCACGCAGCGGCTGGGTTGATTGTGGAGCTTCTGGTTCAGCCCGTCTGCAGCCAGGAGCTTTGAGGGCCAAGGGCCTTTATGACAGGTCAGCCATGTCCACGAGCCAGCAGTGAAGGGAACCAGCCATATTGGGGACACGGCTGCCAGGCAGCTCTTACCCCAGAGCCAAACGCAAGGAAGGGCCAGATAGCTGGCTCTCCCGGGTGTGAGGAGTCAGGGCCCTGGAGGCCAAGGTGTAGGGCGGCAAGGGGTGGCACTGAGCAGCCACCAGGACGTGTATGTGGGTTAGCATGTCTGTCCCCCTAGGAGCCGTCTACATCTGCACAGAGGACGTGTTCCCTGACAGGCGCCTGCAGCAGCTGATCGCACACCAGCCGCAGCTACGGGCAGACGTTCCAGGGGAACTGCTGAGCAGGGTGAGATTCGGGGACCAGATCTTTGTCGAGCACGTGGCCGACATGGTGAGTGTCCCCGCACCTCGCAGGGCTGCCAGCAGCAGCACCACCAATGGGTCACCCGACAGACTATGCCATTAGCTGCTGGTCTTCACTGTCCCAAAGTACCTGTGGAACTGGACATCCCATGTGTGGCCTGGCAGCATGCCCCCAGGGACAGTGGGGACAGAGGCGTCTGGGGGGCAGCAGGGCCTCTGACTTGCCCCAAAAGGCCGGGGCTGTGTGAGCTCCTCCCACCTTCTACCCCAAAAGGAAGTGGTGGTGGCCCCCAAAGCACCACCATGTCCAGGGCAATCCCCAGGTAGGGGTCTGTCTGGGCTTTGCCGGCTGTCTCGGGGTAGGCTTGTCAGGACACGAGGACACCTTGCTCAGGAGAAGCTGCCCGCCTCCATCTGTGACAGCTGCCTGGCCCATGCCGAGTGGGACACTAGGCCAACATGGGACCTGGAAGCAGCTCATTTCCCTGTAGGACAGGGCAGCAGGGCAGGGATCAGCCAGGAGGCGCTCTGTCCCGGAGCTGGTGGGGGAGGGTGTCTGGCCAGGCAGCAGCTGCTCAGACTTGCAGTTAAGAGCCAAGCAATGGCTGCAGGAATGGGCGGATTCAGAAGGCAAGAGGAGATTCTGAGGACAAACCGGCACAGTGAGGCTGGCACCCTGTCCCACGACCAGGTACACGACCCTGCCCCATGTCAGCAGCTCACGCGAAGGCCACGGTGTATAAACTTTTAATCTTTAACAAATGTACAGTAAATACATATTACACAGCACACACAGTGGGCACACAGCGAGCATAGGCCACGGTGAGCCCTGACAGGACCAGTCTCAGCCATGTCTGGGATCTGGGCAGGGGGCGGGCCCCTCGGTGTCCGATGAGCAGTGTGGTCATCAGCAACATCCTTGCAGTAGTGGGCCAAGCGGCCCTCAGCCTCCCAGCCTCAGTGGTGGCTATGGCCCCAGGCTGTCACAGGCAGGCAGATGCACACAGTGCCATGCGGGGCAGGCAATGTTACTGAAAGAGAGGACCGCGGTGAGGCTGGTGGCCTCCTGGTCAGGCCACCTCCTGGTGGCCTCTTTGACTCCTGCACTGCATGTGGCCCGCCCAAAGGCCTCTCACCCAGGAGGGTGACTCAGAGTGATGGGCCAGTCCATGTAAAACCACCCTGCCTTGGGGCCCCCATGTCTATACCAGGCAGGCTGTGCTATAGCCTTGGTGGTAACATGATTCGGTACCCACGTTCTACAAAAGTGGAGCCTGGGGTGCCCCCCACCCTGTGGCCCCAAACATCTTGTGAGCCTCCCCGGGAAAGGAGAATGGGTGGTGCTCACATTACAGCCGCCGTCTTCCAGGCTGCCGCCACTGTCGTTTTCCACAGAGAGGGGTTCGGCTGGCGACACCCTGGGGGAGCAGAGAACAGCCGTGTCAGGGCCAGACAGAACCCACGTGACAGCAGGACTGAGGCAGTGCCCACACTAGGGGCCCTGCTGTGGCTGCCAACTCAGGCCTTGGCTGGGGGGACTATGGAGGCCCGTCCTGAGGCAGGACAGATCCTGGGGCCTCACCCCCACCACTCAACTCTGCCAAGCTCTCTAGAGTGCCCCACCCCTGTGGCCCCCACAGGAGACCAGGCCAGCAGCCCAGGTGGCTCCAGAAGACTGGTACCTGTCCACCTGTCTCTACCCTTGGCGGGTAGCTACTTGGGACACTCTACCCCCACCCCACTTGGTCTGACAGGGTGGCAGGTGGTGTAGGCCAGACTCAGAGGAGATGACCAGCAGGGACCCAGTGGTGCGGTGAGGCAGATCCTGGCCCCCAAAGGGAGACGAGGCCAGCCGTGGGGCCCCTGCAGGAGGGGCCAGGCCAGCACGGTGCCCCCAGAGAGCAGAAGTACCACCAACCCCAGGACACGGCAGCCGCCACACTGCAGCTGAGGGCCAGTGAACATGGCCACGCCAGAGTGGCGCACGGAGCTGCGGGGGGGCTCAGAGCTCACATGGTTGGGTCCTTCCTAAGGAAGGCACAAGACCAGTCCGGGGCCTGGGGAGATCACAGTGTTGCCGTGCCAGAGGCTGCTGGCTGCTCAGCAGAGGCCACAGCCTCACCTGGCCCCCTTGGCTCCCAGGATGCCCTTTTGGAGTGTGTGGGCCAGCGGCTGCCCGTCCTGCTGGCACGCGGTATGGCCCGCCTGGTGGTGCTGGACTCAGTTGCTGCCCCATTCCGCTGCGAGTTTGACAGCCAGGCCTCAGCCGCCAGGGCCCGCCACCTCCTGGCCCTGGGGGCCACGTTGCGCCGCCTGAGCTGCGACTTCCAGAGTCCCGTGCTCTGCATCAACCAGGTGTGTACACCCCAGGTCCCTAGCTGGGCTCGGGCGCCATCCTATACCATGGCCCCCAGTGGCTCAGGCCCCCATCTCATCTTCCAGGTCACAGCCACAGCAGCAGAGGTGGGGGGGCCTGCTGGGCCACAGGGGTGAGTGCTGCCACTGGTGGTGCAGGGGCTGGTGTGGGGCACACAGGGGCCCTGGGTTCTCCTTGAGTGACGGTGGGCCTACTTTCTGGCTCAGCTTCTCGGACGAGCGGGTTTCTCCGGCCCTGGGGACGGCCTGGTCCAGCCAGCTGCTGGTAAGACTGACAGCTGAACGCAGCCGCAGCCGCAAGGCATCACCTGGCCCTCCAGCCCGCACCCTGAGGGTGCTCTCCGCACCCCACCTGCCTCCTGCCTCCTGCTCCTACACCGTCAGCACAGAGGGTGTGCGGGGGACACCAGGGACTGAATCCTGCTGGTGCAACATCCGGCCAGGTCCTGGGAGACAGGGACCGGAGCTCTAACCCGCGGCATCGCCTCCCCGGCAGGAAAGAAGACGGCAACCACGTGCACGGCCCCACAGTCAAGAGCTGGGGTCGCTTGGACAGACTCCTCCCTCCTGGGGGCCACATGCATGGCCGCCACGCCACACGCAGAGGACAGGGTCTCACGGCATCCTGGGGGTGTGCGGCGACAACACAGCTTCTCTGGGACCCCTACCTCCGGAGCCCTCATAGGGGCTCTGGCTCCATCTCTAGCCTGGGGCAACCCCCCAAGTCACCTGCAGTCTCCCCTGCACGACCTGTCCTGCCACTGCAGGGACCACAACCAGCCCCCCAGCACACAGCTACACTGAGACCAGAGGCAGGGTGTCACAGGCAGGGTAGAAGCCGACGGCTGCAGGTAGGAAGAGTAGCTTGTTTTACTGTGTCCCTTTTGCCAGCAGCCCAGGCTGGACAGTGGAACATGGGTGGCCATGGGCCAAGGGCTAGGAGACAAGTCCTGGGTGGCAAGTCTTGTCGAACACAAGCAGCCCTCCTGGTGTCCACTGGGGCAGGGCGACCCTGAGGACCAGCGGCCCTCCCTCAGCACAGTGGTATTGCTTTATCCAGAATCCGAAGGCCTCTGGTGGCAAGCCCATCTACCCGATCCCCACTGTCTCCCCCTCCCCACCCTACGCCTCACTGTGCTACCTAGGGCAGAACACAGCCCAGCAAATAACATAAAATGCTGCCACCACAGCATGTGGGCCTCATCCCCCAGAAATGTCACTCTCAGCACAGCCACCGTGGGGTGTTCTGATTCATGAGTGGTCTGGCCCCTCAGATGCCTTGGAAGCAGGAACCACTATTCTCATCTTCAGACAGCGAAACTGAGGCACAATATACTTGAACACTTTATCTGTCCCTTCCCCAGACCAGGAACCGTTCGGGAGGTCAGAAGAGCTGTGCAGAGTGGCTCTGCCTGGGGCCAGTAGGCACCTTGTGGATATATTTGAATCCTGGCTGAGCTGTCCTGCAGACCTGACTTGGCACCAGCTAAGGAAGCGTGGCCCCGGGGATGCGTCTGCAAAGAGCCTTCCCAGGAAGGTGCAGGGACTTCAAGCTGGGAAATAAACACTTTATTTTTGTAATTAAGTATCGACAATTGTTTTTCTAAGCAAGCCACCAGTACCTAGAAAACAAACGCGCAGATGGAATCTGTAGCCTAAAGTCCTGTGCCGGTCCCCGGCCCAGGGACAGCAGGGCCGGTCATCTCAGCAGCACTGACTCGCGCAGCCCGCTGACCACAGTGAGGATGGGGTGCTGGCTGCCCATGAGGATGAGACTGCACCCAGTGCTCCTGCACAATTCCGCGAGGTCTGCTCACTGCACAAACCTAAGTGCTGCTGGAAACACTCCAGAAGGCCACTACATGAGTGCAGCACGGTCCCCAAGGTGACCACAAGCTATAACAACAACCTATGTTCTAGAGATCCTCAGTTTCCACACCCTTGGCAGCAGAGACAGTTTGCCATCTGCCCTCGAGTTCAAACCATGTGACATCCCAGCAGCTTCCTGACCAAAGAGATGAGAGGTATTTGCCGTTTCAGACCTCAGTCCCTCCGGCATTATGAATGCAGACCCAACGCCACACAGATCCACCCGGGCCACCCCACAAAGCCACACATAACTGGCGTCCCTCTGCCCCTCAGAACCATCCTTCCTACTGCCACCCCCACCTGTGCCAGCCAGCCATCTGACTGTACCATCCACTGCCAGGGTGATCTCACAGGCTGGTGCTGGCTCTGCGTGAAGGGCCTCACCAGGAGCAAGAACGTGGGAGGAGGGAAAGCAGGCCCCACTCTCACTGGGTTTTCACACAGGATGCTAATGGTATAATCTGGGCCACTTCCATGTCACCCATTCAGAAGCCAGGACCACGGGAACCCCAAATCACACTCCTCTCTGAGACACCCACGGGGTCCCAAGTCATGCTACTCTCTGAAACAAGATTGTTTTTCTACCAGGCCTCACGAGAGCCCCAGGGCCTGACCTGTGTCCCACAAAGGCAGCTTGCGGCTTGGGGGTCACGGTTAAGCCATCTGTTCCCATCAGTTTGGGGACTGAAAATGGAATGTCTGCCCAGCCTCATTTTCACTTCACTCTTTGCAGACACCCTCTCCTTTTCCAGCAAGGACTGTCACTCAGGAAGAGGGTTTCAAACCCACATGTCAACTTTGGGGGGTTCTGTGGCCATCTCTCTGTGTCAGTGTGTCAGGCACACCCAGCCACCAGCCTACTAAGGGCTGCGTCTAAGAGCCACAGTATCCCCGAGGGACACGGTTCTGTTTGCTCGGTTTGGATTTTTGGTGTTCTGGTAGCGTAGTCCCTAAAGCACTTGACTGCTGACGAGAAGACTGGCGGTTCAAACCCACCAGGCACTCCTCAGAAGGAAGAGGGGGCAATCTACATCCGTAGTGATACTGCCTCAGAAACCCAAGGAGGGGTCGCTATGAGTCGGCTCTGACTCGATGGCACGGAACAACTACTACTATCAATTGATCTACAGCAGGTCTCTAGAACGGGGTTTAAAACGGTTTCCGCTGGACACCAAGCCGCAGTGCCCCGGCGGTCGGCAGCCCGACCGGGAGCAGCCTTCTCCCCTCGCCAGGCACCGGGCGTCTGTCCGGAGACAGCACAGCCCACGGGAGCCAGCCCGGAAGCGCGGCCGAGGCATCTAAAGGCGGCCTCCATGCCTCCGCGTGAGCCCCTCGCCCTGGGCCGGCCCACCGGGGGCGCGGGGAGGTGGGCGCTCGCAGCGCTCGGCCAGGGGCCGGCACCTTCCTGCGGACGGACGGCAGCACCGAGCTCAGGGCCCGCAACCGGCCCCCGGGCCGTGCAGTCGCCGGGTGACTCCCCGGACCGGGCCGCGCCGTCAAGGCCGACTTACCACCCACCACACACCACTCCTCAGAGGCCCCGGAGCCCCCGGAGCGGCGCCGCCGGAAGGGCCTGCAGGCGAGGCGCGGGCCGCCGACCCTGCCCGTCGCCTACCAAGCACCTTCCTCGACGGTTCAGGTGTCACCCTAAAAGGACAGAGCTCCAGAGTCCAGATGATTAATTTACAGCCATGATAACGTTCAATTTCGAGACCGAGCTGGCGCCACGGCAGGAAGCAAAGGCGTGGCCGGGAGCAGGGGCAGGTCCAAGCGAGCGCGCCCCGGCCGCAGACGGGCTATCGCGGCCCAAGGCCGGCGGCCGCCACCGTCCAGCCCCGGAGGCGCTCGGCTCGGACGCAGTGAGGGGCCGGGCTGGGCTCCCGGCGCTTCCCGAGTCCCGAGTCCCGAGTCCCGGGGTCTAGCTAGCTCTGGCCGGACCCTCAGCGGGCCAGGTCAGTGTGGCTGGCACTCAGAGCTCGCGAGTCGGCCAGACCGGTGTTTCGTTCCTGCGTGAAAAAACAAACGGAAGATTACACCTCGAGCAAGCAGCACCTCCAGCAGGCTTCCCGGGACCCTAAGTCCTAGGGATGACAGGGGCGTCCCGGACGAGGGCCCCTCAGAACCAGAGCGTCGTCCTCAAGGTCCTCAGTGACCGCGCCCACAGCCGCCGCTCAAGGCGGGAGGCGGGAGGGAGGGGCAGGCGCTCAGAGAAACGCCCAGCATGCTCCGCGCCGCAGGAGGCAGGAAGGCAGGCAGGCGGTCAGAGCCGACGCCCGGCATGCTCCGCGCCGCACTGAGGCA